ACAGAGAATACATACTGAAATCGGGAACAAAACTGAAACTTTGAAACCCTTTCATCATCTTTCTCTGGAAATTAGATTGTAGCATTCTGGTAGTTCTGTCAAAGTCAAATACAGAAGCAATTGTTAAGTGTTGATAAGCAACGGTTAGGAGGTGTAATCTACTGGGAAGGTTTTTGATCCAAAATGAAACAGCTTTCTACCCCCGCTAGTCAGGCAGAAATCTAATTACTCTCTTTTGATCTACTATGGAGAGTTAAACCAAAGAGATGAAGGTTATGGACAGTTTCATTGATTTTTATGTCAGAAATCAACAAGTGCAGGTTTTACACTTTGCACATACTTGCTTAACTGGTGTCAGGAATCAAATACTTCAAACAGGCTTTCCCTGCTATCAAGTCAATAAGCATTTTTGGTTGTTTTGTTCAAGTTGTGTTGTTAGTTTCATCACTGCAGAACCTTTTCACCTCAGAACGGGTGCAGGAGGGAACAGTCGAGCTCTATTAGGACGTAGCAGAATAAGGCATTTGGGTTTGGTTTGTTAAAGGAATATCTAATATCTAAGGGAAATAGTATGTTAAAGATTAGCATGCATACTTGAGAAACAATTTTAGGACACTATTATTGTATCAGCATGGCAGAAGGAAGGCAAATGAGTTTGTGAGCTGCTTTGAACTAAGAAAAGGCAGGATATATTTTTTAAAATTGAGGGTAGGAGACAAAGATATAAACAGGACGCCATGAACAGACACTTGATTCAATCCCTAAAGCTTTATCTCCATACAAATCTAACTTCTTCTTTAGCAATCACTTGTAGCTGAGTAAGATTGTCTTCCATGAACATCTTAACAGTGAGTCTGTAAGTGATTGTGGAGGCTAATTCTGGACCCACACATCCTTTCATAGTGGGGACATAGGTTTCTGGGTTGGAGGTGATCATGTTGAGGGTTTGCCAAACCCTCTTAGCTCATTTCCCCTTTTCGCCCTGAGTCTGTGCTTCTTCAAAGTCCATGACACCTTTGGTAAAAGCTGTTCTCCAATTGGAGCGCTCGCAAGACAGTGTTTCCCAGTTATCAATGCTTATGTTACTTTTTAAAAATATAGATTTGCCTTGAGAGTGCCTTTAAACCTCTTTTTTTGTAGTTGCTTTGGAAGATAGTAATCAGGCATCCAGACAACATGACAAGTCCAACAAAGTTGATGTTGAAGAATCATTGCTTTCAACAGGACATTTCCCCAAAAATCTATTTTTTTCTATGTGCAGGGACTGCTTATTACATAGAGGAGGATTCTGTCTTGTGATGCACCCTTGCTGTCTAATGTCATGTAATTTTACTACCTCATCCTCTCTGTGTGAACTAAGTCTGTGATTTTTAGATATTTATTCTGGAGAAGACAATTTGTCCCAACAAGCTGTGTGCTATAGTGGCTAGTATTCTGGCCAGAACCAGAGAGGGAGACCTCTTTAAATTCCTGCTTAGCCACAAAACTCTCTGGGTGGCCTTGGGTCAACCATTGGCAGATCTACATCTTGGGGGCCTTCACGCTTGAACTGTCAGGGGGGCCATAGCTGTCAACTTACAGATTTGAAAATAAGGGACCAGCAGCCTTGAAAATAAGGGACCAGCAGCCAAAATGAGGGACCTGCAGCCTCACCTGTTCCAGGCACTCCGGTCTTCCTGTCCTCCTGCAGTCTGGTCAAACTCATGCTGGTAGCTTCGAGAACACTGTCCAACCAACTTTGTAACCAGAGGTTCAACTGAATAGAATCTGAATCACATGCACCACAAGGCCTATGCAGCCTCAACTTAAGATGGCTCCCGGCCTGGCTTTGCACTGCAAAGTTTGCAGCAGCACGTGCAACAAAATGGCGTCCAGCATTCAAAAACCCCTCAGCTTGCATTAACTAGCCACACACAAGGCATGCAAGCTCCACCCCCCAGTCGTTCTTAGACTTCTTATTGGGTGAGCAACACAGCCAAGCAACACAGTTGGAGCCTCCCTCCTCCCTGGCCGGCAGGGAGGGAGAGAGAGGAGCTGCTTCCTTTGAAATTTAAGGGACATCATTTAAGGGACATTTAAGGGACATCCATCAATAAGGGACAGCAGCGGAACATGGCGCTGGAATAAGGGACTGTCCCTTCAAATAAGGGACACTTGACAGCTATGATGGGGGCACCATCACAACCAGCAATGAGGTCTGGGGAACCACTGTTATCTTCTTCAACGGGGTTGTTCCATGACAGATTACCACACCTTTACAACAGCTGTGCTACTGACTCTCAAACTTTGGGATTGTTGAAATATTGACAACAAAAAAATAATCAAATTGGGTCTAGAAGACCCCAATTTTTTAAGCAATGTGGACTAAAGCCACTTCTGGGACTCCTCCAGGATTAAGGGCCCTGTAGCTTAAGTTTCCTTAGTTTCATAGCAGATCTGCCCCTGGGGTCAACCAGACACTTTCTTAGTTCCACCCATTTCACAGGGTTGTTGAGCAGGTAAAAACAAGTAGAAAAGAACAATGCGTGCTACTCTTGAGTTCCTTAGTTGATGGGTGCGATATATAATACATAAATTGATCATGCCATAACTATTAAATTGTAAGTGGTTGCTGGTTACAGCTTCTTGCCTGAAAAGCCCACAGGTTTCTGCACACAGACTGAAGAGGGGAAATAAGCTCTGACCCCCCCACCAAGTGTCTCTATTTTCCAGGGACTGTGCCGGATTTTCAGAAGCCACCCTGGTTTTTGATTTGACCCCAGAATGTCCCGCTTTTCCTTAGGACATCCTATTTTCATCGGAGAAACGTTGGAGGGTATGTAAGTGCAGTTTCAGCTGTGTGGGTTATCCAACATATAGCTATATTTTACTTAGAGCAGACCCACTGAAATTAAGTGGGACTAGTATTGGCCAAAGCCTTGTTTGTGAGGCCCCTGTCCAAACTGAGTCACTGGTTTTACCCTTTTCCATGTAGAGAATTTTGTGTACATAATTTTCTCATTGGACTGGGCCATTGTTGCTGGGTTTCTTTCTTTCTTTCTTTCTTTCTTTCTTTCTTTCTTTCTTTCTTTCTTTCTTAACAGTTCACTGGCATAATAAAATCCTGTTATTTACCATTGCGCATTAGCCCTTCTGATGAATTGCACGTTTTGGTGCCATTTAAACTGTGCCCAAGAATATACTGAGCCTTGTGCTTGTTTGTTTATGATTCACACCCAATGAAAAGCCCAGTTTGTCATATCTGTAGCTCAGCTGCCAGGCCTGCAGACAGAGACATACAAGCTAGAAGGAGTGCAGGCTTGAGATTATTTTGATAGCTTTTCTTCCTTGTGTCCTGGGAGATAAGGCCATTTCTCCAGCAGCCGCATTTTTCCTGAGTGACTGACAGCCCCTTCAGAGTAGATCGGCCCCCTTTTTGTGCCCTTTCAGTCACTCTGAGGTTATCAACTAAAACTGCACTCAGCATTCAATCACATCTTTCCCCTGTGGCAGTAACTCCTGTTAACACAATTAACCTTCTGATGGGATTTAGAACATAAAATGAATCGGGGTGGGGCGGGAGAGCGAAGGAGAAGAGGCAGAAATAAGCAGAAACACATTCCCACGTTATAGAATAAGGGACAGATTTCTGATAACTGTGGCTTTTATTCCTTCCCCTCTCTCTCACCAGAAGAATGCATACAAAGCATTTTTAACAGGATGCTGGTGACTCACTATGTTTTAAAATTAACAAAGACACCCCAAAACTTCGTTGCCTTTGTTATTTATTCCAGGACAGCTTTTGTATGAACCACAGGGTTGTTTGATTGTAGCAGAGCTGGAATACTGATAATCTCATAATCAATGTTGTCTGAGGAACCTTGAGCAACATGTCTACACATAAGTAAGTCCAGCTGAATTCAATGAGACTTATTCCAAAAGAAGCATCCATAGGACTGTAGCCATGCAGCTTTGTTTTGGCAGAGTTAGGCCCATTGATTGTGACTCTGGATAGGATGGGGCTGAGATGTGATACAACTCAATGTGCTGAACTGGAAGCAATGATGCTTAATCATAAGATGAATTATAATTAATGATGACTTCAGCATGGCACCCTGTCTCAAACCATGTAAGATGCTTCAGAAGAAATGCAGAGAGCAACTGAGGACTTACCATGTTGATGTTTTTCCTGCCCATTCTCCATATATCCTGTGGCTTTCCTATAGAGTTGTCTATGATTGTTAAACAAAACCACATCAATCAACACATTCTCTGAGCTCCTTTCCAGACATATGGGTTCATTTCTGTTCCACTCTGAAGCATAGCCACAGTCTGTAAAGATAAAGGTAAAGGGCCCCTGACAGTTAAGTCCAGTCGCGAATGACTCTGGGGTTGTGGCACTCATCTCGCTTTACTGGCTGAGGGAGCCGACGTTTGTCCGCAGACAGTTTTTCTGGGTCATGTGGCCAGCATGGCTAAGCCACTTCTGGCAAAACCAGAGCAGTGCATGGAAACGTCGTTTACCTTCCCGCGGGAGTGGCACCTATTTGTCTACTTGCACTTTGACGTGCTTTCGAACTGCTAGGTGGGCAGGAGCAGGGACCGAGGAACGGGGTTTAGACCACAGCGCCTCTCGCGTCCTTAGCCACAGTCTGTAACCTGCCACAATTAGATGGGCCTACATTGAAAACAGGCGGCGAGAAGCAAATTTTCATCCTACTCCTGTGTCCATTTTGAGCTTTATACTTCTTCTTTTTTCTTCCTTTTATCACATTGTTTTGAATATTTAAGGCTGTGAACCTAAACAAATGAGGGTGCAAGGCTATTGAACAAAATATAATTTTCTTCCAAGTAAGCCTGCATATAGTCATGCTGTCAGCGTTGCTGACTTTTGTAGCATTTTCAGTTGGTACCTTCTACCGAACTTTGGGTGATGGTTCCCTTGAGGACCTTCCTTGGTGGTCCTGAAGACTTTGAGCCCCCTCACTCCCCCTTTCATCATGAGATGGTGAGTGGCTCCTTTCCACTTCCTCTTTCAGCTCTGTCTACTTTTCAAGGCTCATATTGGCACCGGAGCGACAGAGTCTTGAAAAGTTTGGAGGTGAAAGAGGAAGTGGGGAAGAATGACACACGCTACTGCTTGCTTTTTCAGCTCTACTTCTCAAGGCTCGGATCAGCACCCAAGTAGCTGAACAGAAAGATGAGCGACTGAAATAGTAGGAAGCAAAGGGAAGCTATCTGGGAGACAACTGTGGGAGAAAAATGGAGTGGTAGGGAAGACGGGGGATTACTCAGAGGTCAGGTTTGTGTGAGAGATAGAAAAGAACACTAGGGAAGGGGGCACATGACATGCACATGGAGGGCCACCTCAGAGCCATCTTTAAATCATAGTTCACCTACATCAGGGGTGTCCAACTTCCAAGAGACTGCAATCTACTCCCACTATAAATAAACTGGCAGTGATCTACCCATTGGATTGACCAGAGTTGTTGAGCGTTTTTGTTATTCTATTTTTATTGGGGGGGGGGGAGGATCTCTCAAGATCACACAATCAACCAGGATTGACCAGGGACAGCCCGCGATCGACTGGTAGATTGTGATCGACAGGTTGGACAGGCCTGACCTACATCTTTTGTGGTCTGTTGATGGTTATGATGCAATTTTGTGCATGGGGATGGATGCCTATGTGCCTTTGATCAGTGTTTTCCTGGTGCTGGCAAGCACCAGATCTGTGATATTTACTGGACAGTTTATCAATGTAAGTTTTAATTTGATGCAGTTTTTAAAAGAGAGCCCATGTCAATGAAAGGATCCTTGAATCATAGAACTGTAGAGTTGGAAGAGATCCAAGGCGCCATCTATTCCAATCCCTTGCAACACTGGAATCACAGCAATATGGAGACATTTGGGTTGAAGAAAAACATGTAAAGGACTATAGTTTATAACTTATACAAGCACCAATCGATTTCCCCCAGACATGTCCCTTTACAAATATTGTCATTATGGCTTGAAGAACTTTAAGATAATTGCTAGACTTAGAAAAACAAAGGGGAAATGTAACACAAGAGCATGAATACTATATTCAAAATACAAATGTGAATTGTATTATAGCAAGGTGGTAAATAATTGTAGCACACAAACAGTCTTGGTTACTCAGTCAATATAATCTGTGTTCTGTTCTCTCAAAGGAAACAAATATATTTGATGGGGTTGGTGGCTTAAACAAGGAACAGTTTGGTGCTCTCAGGCCTTGTCAATAGCTATTGAAGAAATGTTCTAACACTTTTTTTCTTTATCCATGCTTGAACAATGGTAAAATGTGACAGAACTCAACTAATTCCACCGTTGTTTGAAATAGGTAATATTGAGGTACCCCAGAGTCCAGAATTTCTCTCTCTGGAAACTAGCTAGAAAGGAGGGGACGAGTGAATAAACATATTCTGTAGTCTTGAAAATGTTTTTTTTAATTGAGGGGCAGCATGCACTTTCTGAAATTAATTAGATTCCCCACCCCACCCCATGCAATTTATAAAAGGTGTTTTTAAATTCCTGAAAATTTTGAATGGGGTACAAGTGGCTCTTCTCACCACCAAAGCTACACACATTAAATTGCAACACAAATCCTAGGAGAACACAATTCTCAGCTCATCCTATTGTTGAAAGATTACCTTCTGAAAGCTCAGGGCATTGGGGGATTATGGATCAGCAGCCAGAGGGGGATGCACCCTGGTGTGATTTATGGTGTTTAAGGTCTTTGTGCCAGATAATAGTGCAATTCACACAGCACTTAGTGCTAGTAAGACTTCCTTTACATCAGTTTGAGTGATAATGCACTCTTTAACTCTTTAAGGCTTTATTAACTCTTGAGAGGTGGGGAAAATTATTTTCTTGCTCCATTTCTGGAGTTGAGGCACCTGCAATTATGTCATATTTGAGGAAAACAAAAACAAAATTTACGTGATTAGGGAAGGTGATCACTCAGCAAGTCCAAAATAGCATTGATGCTTTTGAATTATGGTGCTGGAGGAGACTCTTGAGAGTCCCATGGACTGCAAGAAGATCAAACCTACCCATTCTTAAGGAAATCAGCCCTGAGTGCTCACTGGAAGGACAGATCCTGAAGCTGAGACTCCAATACTTTGGCCACCTCATGAGAAGAGAAGACTCCCTGGAAAAGACCCTGATGTGGGGAAAGATGGAGGGCACAAGGAGAAGGGGACAACAGAAGATGAGATGGTTGGATAGTGTTCTGGAAGCTACCAGCATGAGTTTGACCAAACTGCGGGAGGCAGTGGAAGACAGGAGTGCCTGGTGTGCTCTGGTCCATGGGGTCATGAAGAGTTGGACACGACTAAACAACTAAACAACAACAATACTACAGTGAATCATTTTCTGACAAATTTCTCTGGGACTTTAAACGACTAAACAACAACAAATCCGTAAAGTCACCATTACTTTACTTCAGATCCTCATCCCTTAAATCTGAATATAATAATATATTTGTGGTGATGAAGAATGAGATGGTAAAGTGTGTTGCATGCAAACATAACTGTATAGTTATGAGTAGCAGCAACAGGTATCTTATCACTTTATCTCCAATGAGCACTTGCATTAATGGAAAGTCTTTAGGTTGTTGCTTGGAAAATGTAAGGGATGACATGTTATTTATTTAGAAGATATATATCTTGGGTTTTGTTTTGTTTTTTGTTACAAAATAAATGATTCACAGAGGTGAATCATCCCTTGTCTTGCCCACTTCATGCCTTTTCACTATCCAAAATTGTGCCATATAACATCTTTGTGAGATGCTAGGCAACATCTAGCAAGGAAGATGCCTGGCTGCTTCAGATCATGTCCTTATATTGTACTTTATCCGAAGCACTAAGCAACTTCACAACTGGATTGTTTCCTTTTTCCCAGTACAGTGGCACCTTGGGTTACAGACGCTTCAGATTACAGACTCCGCTAACCCAGAAATGGTACATCGGGTTAAGAACTTTACCTCAGGATGAGAACAGAAATCGTGCGGCAGCAGTGGGAGGCCCCATTAGCTAAAGTGGTACCTCAGGTTAAGAAGAGTTTCAGATTAAGAACAGACCTCCAGAACGAATTAAGTTCTTAACCCGAGGTACCACTGTATTATATGTTGATTTGGATGGTTGTGAACAGTTCTGAGTGAGGCAAACTCGCTGGAGGGGTCAAATATAAATACAGTACTTCTAATAAACAAGCAAACAGACATACAACCAACCAACCGTTCAACAAAAAATGTTCCCCAGGGGCAAGGGGAGAGGGAAGGAGGGAGAGAGAGAGAGAAATTAGGGGAAGGAAGAGGGGAATAGTGGCCGAGAGAAAATGGGTGGTCCACTGCCAGGTCCGGCCACACCCACATTTGTCTTTCCTTGGGCGAATGCAACACTCCATCTACATACAAATGTTTCCCACCCCAAGTTTACAGTAATGACTTTCTGGCTCTTGAACCACTGGCTATAGAAGGGTTTCCTCATATAGAGCATGCACTGCTCTGCTCTAACAGAAGCTGTTCCAGGTTTGCTTGTTTTTACCGTATTTTTCGCTCTATAAGACACACTTTTCCCCCTTCAAAAATTAAGGGGAAATGTGTGTGTGTCTTATGGAGTGAATGCAGGCTCCTTGGCTTCAGCAATAGCAATGCAAAGCCTCCGAAGTGCAGAGGGAGAAGCCTGAAGCCTCCGGAGCACAGCACGATCTCCCGCTGCGCTCCGGGGGCTTCAGGCAGCTTCTGCAAGCCTTCGGAGCGCAGCAGGAGTTCCCGCTGTGTTCCGAAGGCTTGCGGATAGCCGCCTGAAGCCTGGAGAGTGAGAGGGGTCGGTGCACACCGATCCCTCTTGCTCTCCAGGCTTCGCTTCGCTGGAGAGGCGCTGAACAGTTTTCCCTCTCTGCGCAGTGCCCCTTTGTTGGGTTGAAATCACGACAGACGAATGGTGGGTGTCAAAGGAGAGACGTCTGCCCGGGGCAAGTCCCGGGAACTCTCTTTTATTGAATATTACAAACATTGCCACAGGTGTGCTTGTGGCTGATTGGCTGATACAGACACAAAGCATCTTGTTGCTGATTGGTTAACATAGGTACAAGGCGGGCATTACATATTACATTAATCAGTGATAGTTCAAAAGACTGGGAGCGGAGCTGGAACTAGACAGGCATGAATCCTCCTAATTAAATTGTAACTAAGATTAATATAACATGACTAAAACAATTACTAATGATTGATCATAAGTGAAAGGTCCGTATATGTGGTCAGCTATGCATTGAGAACAGAGCATGTTGTTTTTTGTACGTGAACTCAGAATGAACTGAAGAATTGAGGGAATGTCTGGGTGTCCTGAGCTTGGTGTGTTTGGAACAGTATGTGCAGAGCAGAAGGAGACTTCCCAGAATCCAAGAGGAAAGAAGCAAGAGTTTTCATAGTAAGCATAGAAAGATTGCATAGTAAGACTTCCCATAATGCCACAGTTATGTGCAGTAAGAGAACTGCAGAAAGAGAACTTCACAGTGAGAGAACTGCAGAAAGAAAACTTCCCTTCACCCCTTCAGCGAAGCAGGAGGAGAAATGGAAGGGGCTCCATTTCTCCTACTGCTTCGCTGAAGGGGCGCTGAGCAGAGAGGGGGAGAATTTTCCCCCCCTGTTCTCCCCTCCTATGTTCTGGTGCGTCCTATGATCCGGTGCGTCCTATAGAGCGAAAAATACGGTAATCATCTTATCCATGGGTAGGCAAACTAAGGCCCAGGGGCCAGATCCGGCCCAATCACCTTCTAAATCCAGCCCGCGGATGGTCCAGGAATTTGTGTGTTTTTACATGAGTAGAATGTGTCCTTTTACCTAAAATGGATCTCTGGGTTATTTGTGAGGCATAGGAATTCGTTCATTCCCCCCCAAAAAAATACTCTGGCCCCCCACAAGGTCTGAGGGACAGTGGACCGGCCCCCTGCTGAAAAAGTTTGCTGACCCCTGAATTGTATATTTTGTATTCTCTGGCAGCAACGTAGTAAGAAGAAGAATTGTCACACAGACAACAGTGTTTTAAACATAGGCCTCATTTTTATTTTTTTAAAGTAATATCACAGTGACACAGTAAA